GTATACCGCTAATTTGCCATTAGTTGAATTATTGGATGTTCCATATTCGAATGGGAATACGTGGCTAATCAAAGAGAACATAAAATACTAATGTTCTCTGAAATCCTTTAATTTTTTGATTCTAATATACTTTCTGTCACGGTTAAATTCCGATATTTCGTGTTAAAAAGGAAAAATAAAAAAACATTAAATCACATCTTAGTACTCTTATCTATTTGAGAGATTCTAATATACTTTCCACAATTGAGATTTATGCGATTAGTGTATCCCAAAGGCTGAAGATTCATCGCTGCACGTTAGCTTTAACATTATAACGCATATTCCTTCCTCCGTATAATTTCACCACAGAGAATTTCCTAGTATGAGTTTCACAGTTCTCCATTCTCGCGCTGTCCAATCATAGAATTTCGCCTCGATTGCCCCGCGAATCTCATTTATCATTGCGACATTTTCCTCGATCTTATTAGCCCGAACAATCTCAGTGCGACTTGATTTAACATTGATCAAATTGATTTCGAATCCTGTTATGCGTCACCAAACAATATAATTGCCGTCAACAATATATCATTCTCCGCGTTTTTAAATATAAAAAAATATTTATATATACACGGCACATCGCTCATATAAATTATTAAAATATTGTTACATGTGTGGACGTAACCCACGATTCGTTGAACGCATTCGTAATAAACGAATTGGTTGAATGCATTCATAAAATTTAAATAACGAGAATGGATATATATATTTAACTAAATTAAAATTATATAACTATATCATCACGGATTTGATGAATATCCGAATATCCGAATACATAAAAAACGGGACAATATAATGGTTTATGGTAATATTGATATAATAAATAATATTTAGGTCATTGGTTTTTCCAATTCAAATAACAATTTGCATGAGCGCTATCAATTTATTTGTCTGCATGAGCGCTATCAATTTTATGAAGCCAATATTGAATTAAAATAAGAAACAACAACACATATATCTAGTGAGAAATTTATTCCTTTGGTCTAAAAATTTCAAGAAAAAAAAATTTTTTAAAGAATAGAATAAAAGCAGAAAGCACACGTAAATAATGCTTTGCTAAAAATACGAGAAAGTTTACATTTGTTGAAAGAGATCGGCGAAATCGACCGGCTCGTAAAGGATTGAGAAAACATATCGCACGAGCAATAAAGAAAGGAAGAAAGGAAAGTCAAGAACGAGGAGAGGAGAACAAGTGGGAACAGAGAGAAAGAGAGAGAGAGAGAGAGAGAGAAAGCAAGAGACAGAGAAAGAGAGGGAGGGAAAGTGAGAGGAAGAGCGGGAAGAAATCCCGCAGGATACGACCCAGCAAATGAGCCGGAGAATGCAAATCAATCCCACGACGCAGGGCTCGAAATTGTGCACCTACGCTCGAATGCGGCAATCCCTTTTCCAGGGCTTTGCTGCATGTGCCAGGATGAGAGGCAGGAAGGGAGGATGGGTAGCGGTGCGCTAGTAGTGAGCCGCTACCGACACCGACGTACAGCCCACGGAATGCTCCCCTAGGGTACGTCACTGCAACGGTGCAACGGCGCAATGAGACCGAGCGTGCATTATCGCATCCGACGTGTCCGACGCGACCAGGAGAACCGCCTACCTCTGCGCGATCCTCTCTTCGGGGAATAATGTTCTCCGATGCTACTCCGGTGCACAACTTTGCTCGCTCGCGAATCTTCGTTGCGAACCACGTGGCTCTCGATTGCATCTTATTTCTATGAAACGACTCAATAAATAGAGATGGTACTTTAATATATATTGTATCTTCTTATGTGGGATTTTTTTATATTATTCGCTAAGAGTTAAAAGGATGCAAAAATGAGATAGCAGTTCGTTTCGAACGGATTGCGTTATATAACCAGAAGACGAGATCATAAGACGAATGCAATTCGCAAAGACCATCTTATTTCTGTGAAACTTATTTCAAATCTTATAGTTTGGAACAAGGCTTTGATATTGTTTTGCTTTATTTGCTTGTTTGTTTTGCTTTATTTGTTTTCGCATTCCTCGTCAGATTTCATAAAATTTGACTGTAGATGTTGGGACAAATAAAATTACTTTAGCTTGAAAACTGCTTTAAAATGATTTAGTATTTTATATGATATAAATTAAGCAATTGAGGTACAACATGTTTAAAGAGAAAAAAGATATGAGTAAGATAAGTTAATTACATATTTCTTCTGTTTCTTTGCAATTTCTCCTCCAATTTTATCTTTGTAAAATTATTTTTTCAGATTAATAACGTACGTATATTTTATAAAATCTTTTGAAAGAGATGTTAACTTTTAAAATTTTATAAATTTTACCGATCTTATAAATACCATTACATTATATATAGATATTCTTCTCTTTCGGAATAAATTCTGTATAAATTATAAACCGTTCTTAAATCTCTGATATTCATATTAATCTCAAATCTTGAATTCGAACATTCAATTACATCAAAATGCAGAAAATTTGGATAAATTTTTTAATATTCATTCGAGAGACATTCAATGCTCATTAACCTTTTAATTATGTTCGTTTAACAAGATTTTACTCTGACGGGCAACGAATATCGTGATAAATTTTCGTTTGATGAATATGGACCGATTGCGAAAGAGAGCGCATACGGTTACTTTTGCAAACGCGTCACTCGTAAGAACATGGCAATGACGGGATCGAAGACGAGATTCCCTTTGTCCTAACCGGCGAGCTAACCGCTCAAAAGGTTTATCGGAGCATGACTGAGAAACTCTATTGAAATGCAATTTAACGAGATGGAACGGTGGGGGAAGACTATCCAGAACGGCGATTATAGCGAAAACGACAAATGCGCGGTCGTGGGGTAAGGCACCTCTTCCGACCGGATCAATCGTTCCGAACATAATATCAAAGGTAGAATTTAATTGCGAATGAACATAGATATAAAGATGATTTCGTTACTCGAGTTTGTAACTAATTTATTATTCGAGCAAAGGAGAAATACGATAATGCTTTCATTAGTTGTACTTGTCGATCTCATTTTGTCTACTAACTTTTGACTTAATAATCTCAGCGCATTTATTAAGTACAATATACTTAAAGATCCGTATATATCTTGCCAAGAATTTTATCGAGCGTTTTTTTATAGATGCTCGAACATGGAAAAATGATAATTATGACATATACGTGTAATAATAAAAGAGATGTACTGATTACAGTTAAAATTACGATGCAGTCAATTGATTTTTAATTTATTGTTTCGAATGCAATAAGGGTAATTCTCGATTAAGAAAGTGACAGATTGCTGCGATAGTATATTTCGATCACGTATATTGGTGAATTATTGCTTACAATTAGTGTTTGCTTTACATTCGAATCTCGTCAAGCGAATTATCTCCTCAATCTCTCTTTTTCCTGTGGAATGTAATTATATTAAAACAATATATGAACGCCGAACTATGTTTTTTTTTGAGAATGTTCGTTTATGATCGATGCCTTTAGAATCCAACGAACGAATGCGAGAGACCTTTGCTGCGAGCGATTTTTAAAATGGCACTTTTTCTCTCATCAGTCAAATTTTCTGACGTATATGACCATCATTTTGGTCACTTCTTGACAAAAAATAATTTATATATTTGGAACGTGTGTGTGAAACAATTGCTTGTTTTTAAAGATTTTACGAATTTTGTAATTTTTAATTCTGGAAAGTACAGCCAAATACATTTTGAAAAAGTATTCCCTTGTGTCAATTTGAATAGTATTTGGCACAAGGCGCAGCCGTGAGATTAATGTTTAATCGCGTGAAATTAGTGCACTCGGAAATATTAACGCATGTTCGCCGCATATGTAAATGCACGTCCATGTGTAAATTGCTTTCCGGAAAGCTATTAAAACTTCATAAAGAGAAATCGAGGAGGCCACAGACGCTCCACTCCAAACTAAACGCTCGTTGGCAATCTGTTAATTGTACAACAATAAGCAACACGTTAAAGTTCGAGGTCCAGAAAATACATTTGTGCTACTCTTAAAAGCGAGAGAGAACCGATTCAATTAATAGCGCGATTCGACGATAGAAATAATCGAACGAGGAGCAATTAAGGATACGATCTGAAGCCGGCGCACGAATGGGGCGCGCGTTCATTTCACTTTTATTCCGGACTCGTCAGTACCTGTTCGTTTCCATGACTCGTCTCTATTGTACCGAATGAACCGCAGAACCTATTAGTCCCTGGATACGTAAATTGCGTCCACGATAAAAGCGGCTTGTGAATAGATGGATGAAGTACTCTTCAGTAGCAAAGGTAGGCGTATTGGTCGACCATGCAAAGACCCATACAATTAGCTCTCAGGTTCTGACCCAATCTGCGATAAAGATTTGAAGACGATGAAACGATCACACATATATTGCATGCAAACTTTCCGTGTGGCTTTGTAATTTTATTTGTCTTCTAATAATAACTATATAAAATTCTCAGATTTTATTTGTAAAAATATCGTGAAAATATTTAAAAAAAGATTTCAATTTCTCAGCAACTTTTTATAGATTCTTTTTATTAGATTGAACTCTCGGATTCGATTGATGTTTTCCCTCACGTATTTGACTTTTCAATTTTTAAAAATTAAGAAACGTTACCAGTTTAAAATCCATTTCTAAGTATCATATTAAAAACGTTAATACAAATTTTCTGTAAATATTACAAAATTAATAGTTGTAATATATTATAAATATATTATAAATATATATTGTAATATATTATAAATATATGTATATCACATATATATTTTATCTTATATGAAAAAAACTCGATGTGATTATGAATTATTAAAATACAGATTATGGTGAGATAGAATAGAGTGTTTGAGAGAGAGAGAGAGAAAGAGGTTATCACAACAATGAAGGATAGTTGTGAGTTTAGGCTTATCTGCTTATATATTATCTAATAATTATTCGATTAACAGTTTTGACATGCATTTAATAACATGTCTCGTTTAATCTCTTGTTTCAGATACGATCCGCAGACAGACAATCTCTATGCTATTACATGGTATAAGGACGATGAGGTATTCTACAAATATATACTACAAACGAAAGAAGGCCACACTTATCTCGTCAATGGTGTTAAAGTTGATGTGAGTAAAATACCCTCTTGTGTTTCATTGTATTTTAACGCGCTATTGTGTATTTTTAGATATTGAATTTTTAACATTTCATTGAATACAATGTTCTTCTTTTGATTAAGAGCGCATTTCGCATTCTAAAAAAAACAGTAAATTTTATATTTTTGTCATAAACATATTGACGTATTTCGAATCCAAAAAATAGACAAATTGGCAAATGACATTTATGAATGGAAGCAAATAAGTATGTCACAGATAAAAGATGTCTGTAATCCGAATGTGAAATATTTTAACAGGAACGGATTAGTTTAAACGTAGATTTACGCTTGCATCCATTTCGATAAATCATTCAATGAAATTCAAACTCGATCGGAGATACAGACAAATAAATCGAATTGAAGACCGCCACATCGGCAGCGATGCGTCATGGACGATGAATTTTGAGACAAATCTCGAAATCTATCGCGAGTACCCGATAAATTTTTCGAAGGCGACCTCCTGCAGATACGTCTTAAACGTCGATATATCCGAGATGCCGGGTAACAGGTTGGAGAGTCTTCGGGTCAAACAAAGTGGAGCTTTCGACCTGATCTACGATACCAATTTCAGGGAAAAATCTTCGATTCGCTCGAGCGGGAGGAGGAAAGAGGGGAAGGGGGAAGGGAGAACGAGGGGGACGAAAGATTTGCTCTAACGTCACAGGTTATAGAAATCGGAGCGACGAGAAAACTATCGGTCCTCTCGCAAACGAAACCGCGAACGATGAGCAAACTTCGTTTTAAAAATATTTGTTCCGTCATTCGATAAACGGTTTTTTCAACAAGGAGCTTAACACGCGAGTTTCTTATGTTACTAACAAAAATATCTGTGTTTGTCGAGAAAAAATTGTTCGCTAATTTCTAATCCTCAAAGAAGCATAAATTAATTCAATTTCATGATTAATCACCTGAACATGTATAATTAATATTATGTGTTATTGCAAAAATTTTCTTTATTAACACCTCAGAAATAAAATAAACTTTTTGCCCTTATAAAACATTATTATGTTACATTCTTATCTGTCATATAGTTTACAAATTTTGTTCTCTTTTTCTATGAAAAGATCTTCGTGGAAACATATAATAAATCCAATCTCTTCCGTTTCCATAATATCTTTACTAATATAACGAGATCTTTTTATACAGAATCTATTATTAAGAATCTATATATATATTTATATCTTTTTTTTGTAGATAATAAGTATGAAATAGAAAGAGACTGTTAATTTTATTATTATTAAAATAGATCGTAATATAATTTAGACTCTAAAAATCAGTAACAGCACCCAATCACATATCACGTTATCAATGTGCTTCGTCCCATTTTATATAGATCTGGCAAAAAAATAGACCAAGGTACACTATCAGGCGATGTGGTTTGTATAGCGCGAGGGAATGTGCATCGTATATCATAGACCGCCATTGTGTTCAACAACGTACATGGGAGCGCTCAAGTTTTACGGCTTTCCGCAAAGATTTAGCGGCGCCAATCTACTCTTTATATTACGGAGTAGATGAGGCTGAATTCAGAGATCTCCGCGAAAAGAGATTGCACGAGGATGATGTATCCCGCGTTGTGCCGTGATGCAACAGATATAGGTCGTGATGCAACAGATATAGATACGCTCATTGAAAAAAGATCGACTGTTTTTAATGGACATGCGATGTCGGTGATATGATTACGTGTCCGCGAAACAGGAAAATCGAGTTGCTAATAAATTCATAGCTCGATTTTTTTGGCTAACCACATTTGACAGGGACTATCCTCGTCACTCAATCTTAATCCGCTCAAACTTTCATTGATATCGATTCATAACAGCTCGTATGTTCCACGAATTATCACATAATACGGTCTTATATGCAGATAATTCAAACCAGATAATCCATATGAATTTGATTTTATATTTTATATGGGTTTTATAAATGTCTGAGAGACCTAATAAAAGAAAATATCAGCAAATGGAATACTTTGTAAATATAATCAATAGACTATATATATTCTTCAAATATTGAGTCAATTTTTTATTCAATATACAAGAGAAAATACACACACATTTTTAATTTATACGATTTATTTTTTTGTAATCAATTATTTTTAAACATGAGAAATCCCATTCGTATGTAATCCTTGTTTTTATAATATTGCAATTTTCCTTTTCATCAAGTTTGCTCGCGCGTGTTTAGTGTCAATATTTTATATACGCGAAATAAGATAAGAAATAAGACGGATAACTACATAAACTTTCTCTCTCTCCTTCTCTGTTCTCTTATCTTACGTTTTAATATCTATGGACGAGATCCTTTTGTGTCATGGGACAAACTGTAAAGTGCAATTACCTTTACGACTACATACTCGCTTTGACGTAGAGCGCTTTGCGGTAGATAAGTACATCAAGTATATCTTAATAAGTTCCAAGTATATTACATACAGAAAATATCCACATTATTAAAATTACAATATTCCATTTTTTTCACTTTATGACATGCAAGAAATTATCGAATAAAACGATCAATGATTTATGCTCTTTCTAAATATTTTATTTTGAAGAAATTCAATATCAAAGTTTCCAGGAAAACTGCAAATTTATTGCTACTTCTTTTTCCCGTATATTGTACATTTCCTGAAACAATAAATACTATTATTCTAATAAAATTCTAATAAAATTTCGTTCTTAAACTTATTCAGTTTATATTTTTCATTTACAATCACGTACACGTTACAAATTATTCTAATTATACCGATACTAAATCTCATGCTTTTATTAAAAAAGAAACTTTTAATGAATAATTAACATCAGGTAATTGAAAAATTATTTAATGATATCGATAGGAAAAATATCATACTATGTATAAAAGTCCTCTGTATACATTCGTAATGTAAACATAGCGTATCGAATCGCCTAAGGTAACTGAATTTACGGGGAATTGCTCGTTCGATCGTAAAGGAATCGTATCGTCGCTTTTCGAAAAAAGAAACTAAAGTAAAACATACGATATAGAGCGAGAAAGAATGCAGAAAGATCGCGAGAAAAGAAGCGGCAGACCAATGTGAGGTCAATGTGAGGTATTATGCGTAAGAAATCCGTGTGTAAAATATTTCAATTTATTTCTAATCGTGGAAGATTATGTCTGTGACACTCGAAGACATCGTGTATACGTATGCAACATGTGTATAAACAAGGTCGTGTAAGAGAGAGAAACGCTACACTCGAAGTAGCAATAATATAAACAAAGTCCGATTAGTCATTACGACCGCAAACGGGCTTAGGTAGTCGTGGAAACCTAGTTATAGAGATCGCGGTCATATGTTTTGTGATAAATAGAATCAATGTAATGAAGAAACACAAATGTGCAACGCGAAGACAAACGAGAATATGGCTGGAATATTATTCTCTGGAAATGCGTACACTATGTCTTCTTCTTTCTACGACAGGTAACTATTAATAAATATAGGGAGATAAGGAAGTATAACAAAGAAATATAAGGATAACCAACATAATTGATCGTTACAAATGTTGTGTATATTGTGAGCATAAAAATATAATTCACGATCTTATTGTCATAATATGTATCTAACAATAAGATCCAATTAACATTTTATATAATATTTGTAGATTGTTTGATTTATTTAGATCGCGGGAAGGCATGTAATGAAATTATTTCTTGATTAATTTTAATTGAAGATCAATAAATTTTTCTTTAAAAAATAGGTGAAAAAATATGTAACAGAAATTTAAAAAAAAAACGATGGCTATTCATAAGGATATATATAAAATAATTTTTTATCAAATAAAATTGTTTGTGGCGATGTCGATAGAAAAAAAAATATATATAATATATATAATGTGTCGCGAATTATAAGGAAAAAGATGTCCGATTTTGAGACATTTCGTGCAGCGTGCAAGACTTGGATTTATGCGGTAATTTTCGGGTGCTTGATTCGATCCTTTTGCGGAAATGGCCGTGGACCACGACAGCTTCATCGAAGAAATCGGCCGTACGCGCGAGATATGAAGTAAACTACCATGTCTCTAAAGTACAGGAGAATCGACAGTCTCCGTTCCGCTGCGAGCGATCGTCTCGATTCCCGAGACGGTGCGTCCGCTTCCGATTCACGTTTTCGATGGCACGAAAGTTCCGCTCTTCTTGGCGCTCGTTAATATCGTCCGACGTGTAACGAGCATTACGTGAGCCGAATCGGCTCATCCCTTTCGCCCGCCGGGCCGCCGATCTTTCGAATCTCCTGTATTGGAGAGCGGACTATTAATCTGGCTCGTTCCAATAGCTCCCCGATATCGACAAAGAAAACTCTCCATGGACAAAGGCGATTATGTCTGTCGGCCGTCTGATTCTTGACATGTATTAAAGTGTAAAGAATTATGGAAATTTAAGAAGATTTTAACGTCATTAATTTAAGCAGGGCAAATAAAAGAAGCTGTAAAGTATTTTGCTTTTTATCTTTTATTATAAATAGCTTTTTACAATTTCTATTTATAATTCTTACAAATCTATTTACATACACAACACACGCACATACAACACGATTTTCATGTCTACAAAACATTTATAAAATAAATAATTTTCAGTTATTATTAGATTATGAAATGTATGTGTATTTAGCAAAAGTGAACAATATGATTGATTCTTCTTCAGTTAATATATATATTTATCAGTTAATAGTCCATAATATATTTGGATTTATTTTGATTGAAATTAATTTCTGGCTTAACGTTTTATCGATTAGATGACAAATTGTTCGCATTAATCCATAAGTAAAACAAATTTCAATGTAATGAGAGAAGCACAATGTAAATTCTTTCGCAAAAAAACGTTCAATTTAACATTGAACTTAAAAAGGAGACACTGCTTATAAATAATGTCATTTCTTGTTGGCTAGACATCGCAAAAATAATCGGGTTATTGATATCGGATTAATCATGATTGATCAAACATTCATTATTTATAATATTCATTATTTTCCATTTGCTTCTTTTTCGAAATTTATAAAAAGATCTGTCAAAGAAAATTTAGATCACATATATAAATCGTTTATTGAATATCAATTATTCTTTAATCGAAATTACGTCAAAGTTATTATGATCGCAAGAAATATAATTTGATGCTCAATTTTTATATTAATATTAAATTACCCTACACTCTTTTTTTCACTGTTGTTTTTCATTAATTTGCCATTTTGAGAATACGACCGCTTAATCATACGTCAATGGAAATTAAACTAATATATTTTTTCTCATTCTGCAATTATTCCATCACATGGCTTATTCTAATATTCCAATAATGACTAAGGCTAATATAAAATAGTATTATACACGACGAATCTCGCATCTTAGGGTGGTTCCGAGCAAATATCTCTCTATGTTTTCGGAAACGTAGAAAAGCAGCTAATATAAAAATTGTTTTCATCTCGCCTGTTCGCGCGCGCGTATAATCGCGTTTACCTTCATCGAGCACGGATGCAGCCAGCCTGAAAGGCGCTCGCTAATTCGCCGTAAAACCGAGAGAGATTTCGAGGTGCTTGGAAAAATGATGAAAAAGACGTGCTCTATAGGAATGCAACGAAGCCGTGAGAGAAGGACACGTGGGATATAACCTAAGCAAGAGAAAGAAGAAAATAGGGAGAGAGAGAGAGAGAGAGAGAGAAGCACGCAGCTTTGAAATTACCTGCCAACTCGAGTCTGAAATTTCATCGAGAACGAATCAACAGCTGAATCTCTCGCGATGTGCTAGAAATGCGTACCTATCTTCTAAGAGAGAGAAAATCTTCCATCTTTCTTAATCCTTTTCTCTTCTTCTCTTAATCTTTCCTTCTCTTTAACTCTCTCTTCGACTCTTACGCGAAACTTCCGTAGCGAAGCCAACAAACAATCTCAGATGCTTTGAGCAAGTTATCACGCGCTCCTCTATGCTGTCATGCTTTTTTAACTTGCTCCGGTAAACCACCAGTTTACGGACTCTTCGTGTTAACCTAGTAATTTGGTAACTTCATCTGTCTTGCAAAGTTCCATTATTATCAAGATGTTTTACAATAGAAATTAGATTACATGTTATGCAAGTCGTGTGTTAATTGTTCCAATATCGATTAATTAACGTTGAATTAACAACTGATTATTCCTTCTTCGATAGCTCTTCTTATAAAACATATACACTGAAGATGAAGATGTTAGAATCACAAGATTCACACAATTCAGCTTTTTATATTAGTTTCTCCCAAATTAGTAATAAAAAAAAACACACAAAATTCGTAAGATTGAGTTAATCGGGATGATTGACGTAAATGGATGTCGATTGTGCTTGATTCGAGTCGACAGCTCCTTATAAAATAATATTCTTACAAACCTGTGTAACTTGACCTATTAGCTTATCGTTACAAAACAGACCGTTTGAGGAGCGAATTGCTGCCAGTGGGAAATATTGTCGACGGTAATACGATTCCCGCGGTCTCCGCTGCTCGCCGTCATTTCCTCTCTTGTTTTCGCGAAACTTTTCTCGGGGGACGTAAATTGATTTGTCGGCGTAAGAACTCTATGTCCGACAGCGCCTTTAGTACGAGATAAACGTCAACATTGCCGCGCAGGAACCACGTCGTTTATACTTCGTGACTTCCTTCACGTGATCGTGGCTGGAGCGCCTTCTTTCCTTGCGTTTCCGCTCTTTCTGGAGACGCGTTTGTACTTCTCCGCTGCTGGAAAAATCTCTGGACGTGTTACTACCGGTAATAAAATTTCCTCAGACATATATGATGGTACTGTACCTTTTCTCTCATGCTTGGTCATCTGACTCTTCGATTCTGCTTCGGTTGTCCTGAATTTTTTTGCGAAGTAGATATGTTCCATTTATAGTTGAACTCCTTTCTTTCCGTCATTTTCGCTAAGAATATGTAGCTCGAACAAAGCTAAACGTTACGATGAACTATTATAAATATTATTATTAGAAATAATATTATGTATTATTTTCATTGAAGGTTTAATTAAAACAATTATAATTTGAAACTCATTTTACATGAAGATGAATCCATAATTAAGAAAATAGATGATATAGAGAGTATTTTAGTAATTTATTGACATAGCGAAAAATTAGCGCAAGATATCCTCTATTTTTTCCACGTAATTACTTTCAAACTTCATAATTGAAAAAAATATTCTAGATCAAAATATCTCTATTTCAAAAAACACATGTTATGATATTATAATTGTTTTAAATTACTGTTATAACTCACTACTTTCGAAAAGATAAAACACGACATTTCTACTCTCTCTCTCTCTCTCTCTCTCTCTCTCTATATATATATATATATATATATATATATATATATATAATTTACATGTAAAAGAATATGAAAATTTTAAATATTTTTTCTACGAACGAATTTAATAACTGTGATGATATTGTAATAAGAAGTTTAAAAGAGATTTAATATGGAAATTCAATTTTCATGTCCAATAAATAAATTGATATTTCTTGATGACATCAATTTTTATAAATCTATCTTGTGAGAAAAACTTATCATGAATATACAAAAGCTTTTAGTTTTGTTACAAAACTGAAAGTTACCATAGTGAATATATTTGCAATGTACTGCCCATAAACTCGAATAGTAAAGAAGTTCCAATTTTCTGCCTTGCAAGCACCTAAAGACTTGCTTCCCCGCCGCATAATTCTTAAGCTTGCACTATATATATATATATATATTTGCTCGTTCGTTTAAGTGCGTATATTTCTTTATATGTAGTCCAAGTACTAGCCAAATCAATTTATATAAAATTGAATTCCTATCTTATATTTGTTTTCTAAATAGATAGGTGAACTTAATTTTTTAAATTTGAAAATTTTTTAACTTCTTTTGAATTCTAATTGAATTATAATATCATATTTTATATCAATTGCGAAATACATAAATCAAGATTGTGTGTATGCTAGGTTAAAAAATAAAGAAATTTAAGAAATGTTTGTTTAAAAGAAAGGGAAATGTTTTTGTTATAAATTCAATAAATCCATTTTATTTTACAAGCTTTGTGTACCTTTCCATTTATTTTTATTTGCGAAACTCTCCATGGCATTTGAAAGTTTGCGAGGAAAAAGAAAAAGCCTATTTGATGTTATTTTTTTTCTTGCGTAGAAGCTTGATATAATGTAAAAAATCTCTTCAATAATTATGCTCCGAATATCCTGGCAACGCACGAAAAGAATTTTACAATTTTGTACACAATTAAGTTTGCATACGCTTTTAATTTTATATCAAATTTTCTAAAGGAATTTTTATTCTAAAAATATTGCAAAGAGCTCTCGAACTAATTAATCTCTTTTTCTCTAACGTGTGTAAGTTTAAACAGAGTATAATAAATGCGTTTTAATACAATAAAAAGCATACGGAATGCAAGAGTCTTTTATAAAGTTATAAATTGCAAATCTGTAGCAAAAATAAAGAAAAACTCTTACGCTCGGTAATCATGCGCGATTTGCGACCGCCTTTTGTAACGTAAGTACATTGTTCTAAAAACAAAATGACTCGTAAAGTCGATGTCTTGTCGCCCCGCTTTACCCGTAATGGCACGAATGATTATATCTCGACTAAATGTTATTAAATAGTTCGGAAAAATCGCGGTTCTGTTTCATCCATCTCTCGACGCTTTCTCGAATAGATATATCTCAAATGTGCCATTTTTCATTTGAGTTAAATATAACTCATCTTAATTTGCAGTACCTTCAGGTCCTGTAAATTTATAATTCTCTATTCTATGATAGCCCGCAAATTTGGTTAATGTAAAAATAAATTCATTTTCCACGTATTATCAAATGTAATAGACATCTCGCCATTTCACATATTTCAAGCGTTATGTCTTTCATTTAATTTTAACGCAATTTATTCTCATTTGTGGTTTTTATTTCTTAATTTTAATTCCATCTTGTTTACAAAAAAATTGGTTTTAAAATAAATACCCTGCATATTATTAAATAAATATCATTAAATAAATTCTCACATGTTATAAATAAACAATATTTCTGATTTTTTACGTTAAATGTAATTTAAATGTATCTCTCTGTTCATTAAAAATATATATATTTAATATAATTTAAAAATTATTCCTATGTTTTTTAAAGTTTATAATTTAGTCTACATATAACAGTTAGTCCGCAACTGAGAATTCAATTATAAAAATAAATTTCTATGTAACATGTCTCTTTCACATTCGATAAACGAGAAAGAGAAAAAAAATTTTAATTTAATATACATATATACATGTGCATATTGTAAAGTCACAATGTAGTAATATTAGTTAATTAATGGATATTATCTTAAATGAAATATCTCCAAGCAACCTCTATATGTAACAGCAATAACTTTTCTGTGTTTTATTTTATTTTTATTATTCATACGATTTATATGATTTTAAAACGAGTCTGCAATTTTTGTTTCAGAAAGAACAGTCGAATGACCAGATGGTAGTACTGCAAAATGCGAGCCTTCACGCCAGTGGCGAATACAAGTGCGAAGTTAACGGAGAAGCGCCAAACTTTAACTCGGTTAGCGGCAAGGCGAACATGGAGGTCATAGGTGAGTGGACTGGTGTCGCGTTTAATTAATAATGCTTTGAACACGGCCGTACCGTCGTCTCCTCTTTGGTAACTCGACTAAAGACTACGATGTGGTCGAGTTCGGTAGCAATGTACCGAAAGGAAGAGAGGAAGAGAGAGATAGAATCCATCCTTGTGAAGAAACGAGAAACTGCGAGTCGAGACCTGTATCATATCCTTCGTAATGTTCCATTATCCTTGAAGGTGGAACGAATCCCTTTCACTCTAACCATGAATACCCTATCGCGTTTACACGTTCATGTGGTTACTATAGACCGATTAGTTCGCAAAATTAACGGCAACTCTATCGAAGCGTTAGCGATATCGGATTACAGCGTTGTGTAAGTTCGCAAGTGCCACCGAGACCTGGTATTGCTCGCAAGACAATTTACCAGTCAGAGAATGCCGCAATTATCGAGTAAGATTCGTCTTATTGGAAACGTAATGGAACTAAATGAATCGTGAATATAAAAGATAATTGTGTACTAGTTTCGAAAGAAAACATCAATATCGGAAGCACAATTTAAAAGAAATCGGATAGTACAATTTAAAACTTTGGTTCTAATTGATGTTAAGGGTTGTAAACTGAGAAGATCGTAATTATAAAAGCAAAATTATATTTTCTTCTCACAAATTGCCTGTAACATTAAATTTCACATTTGTCTCTGGAAATTAAAATTTCTTAACACGTATTGCAAATTATTGTATTATTAGAGGCAAACTATTAAAATTATTTTAAAAAAACATTGTTTTAATGAACAAAATAATAATGGAAAACATTGGTAAATTTCTGTTGACCACATGCGATTAATTTCTCTTTTAATTTTAAAACTACATGTATTTATCATGTATTTCACATTTTTTCGTTACCTTCCTCGTAAAATATAAAACAGCTATATAATCGCTTCATTGATTAGATGGACAAACAGATAATCGTTTGCTCCAATGACCAGTTCAAGCGGGTAAACGAATAACGGTTTGATTGATTAATCGTTCAGCTCTTTATTTGATTGCGCCATCCAACATACAATGCGTACGTGTCCATATGGAGTTACAAATTCATCAATAATCTGTGCATGAAAACGTCATCTGCCTTTTTTGTTTGTCTGCTATTCTTTTGTTATTTGATCTCCATGCAACTTGATTTCTGGACGCGTTTTCATCAGCATGATATACAACAAACTATAGATCCTGCAAATATGGTACATTTATCCTCAAACAAAGCAAGTATACGAAGTAGTAAATGGAGAGACAAAATCCGATAACAACGCGCAATATCCGCTGACAACATAATCGTGCTAATTCTCCTTTCAAAGATTAGCATCTCCGATTGTTGATGACGCGACACATGATTCCTACACGATGTTTCGGACATTGACCAATCAATCCACGGCGGATATTCAATCCAAACGGTCGTGCGCGTAGATGCGTATGCTGTTCTTATCAGGATCAAAGGAAGCGTATCTAATTATCTTGAGCATACGCTAGACAAGGTATCTGTTGCAATAGGATTATCATACGGTCAAAGTGGGCGGTACGATAGTACCATAGTGGCTCCGAGCTAGATATTAACTCACCTCAATGTAGGCGGTTCGACAACGAAGATAGGCACGATTATTTGCCCGCTATTGGCAAAATATAATCGCCTTATAATTATTTCGTCACAACATATTATCGTTTGCAAACGAATTGAAAATTCGCGATGAATAGAATTCGTGGGTAAAGAATGTGTTCCGATGAACGGATTTTGGAATTTTTATAGAAAGAAGATATTGTCGAATGTAAAATGCAATGAATGAAATGCATTTATTCTTCACTTAATTCTCCAAAGCTTATTCATTTGTGCGAAAGTGTCACGTTGCATTACAATAAAAACGTTAAAACGAAAATAATTTCGCACATGTTGTTAATAATTCACAATAATGGAGATATATATATTAAAAATACATATAATTCGCGCCGAAGAAAGACAGAGAGAAATGTATTAATAGAATTAATAATTATATATTTTATTTTGGTGCACGAAAAATACAAAAGCACGTCATAATATGACGAAAGAGTATTGAAAAAAGTTGACTGAAAGCACGATTAATTTTTATGTCATATAAATATCGTATTGCAAATATTTTGATATCGGTGAGCTGAAATAAAATTTCTGATACAGTTGTGTTATATATAAGGCTTATATGCATTTATAATATTATTTCGCGAGACGAATACTTAAGGAATATCAGACAAACGATATTAAGTTGTCGCGTCAAGGGTGATTGGCGAGAGGGTTTATCGTCCGAATTCAATTTGCACGTCTTTTGATATCGCTGAAACGATGAAAGGCACCGACTTGTGAAATATTCTATCGCTAATTTTACTTTTAAAAGACCACATCGCATTTCTCGTCTTATCCGCATCCCAGTCGAATGAAGGAAGGCGGGAATGGACGCGTGCTCTTACTCGCGTTTTCGCGAAAGGCAGGAAATTCAACCGAGTGGTTTGCGCGAGGCGCGATCGGTGAACGGACGTTAAAGTTTAAGGGTGCATAAAGCCGTCGAAACGCGATAAATATTACGGCGTCGTAAGTCCTAAGCCGTAACTGGGCGCCGTCGACGCCGCTTCGGACCAAAGGAGACGAAAAGAGAGAAAGAGGCTTGGAATGCTCGCACGAGAGCAAGCGAGATGATCGCTGGGAGTTGGAAGAAGGGTGGTTGGACGAGGGAATTTTAAGACCGTTGTAGGAGCTCGTCGAGGAGGCTGTCGTCGTGCCAAGTTTCGTCGGCCTGTCGGCTTTTCGTCTCCCACTGCATCTTTGCGACGAAATTTTCTCCCTCGCGTTGGCTCGCGCAAAAATCGATAACCAGCGTTGTTCGCTTCGCGACTTCTCGCTCGCAATGCGACGAATTTGAAGCTCCAAGTGTGCCGTTTGCAAACATTATCAAGAAAATTGAACGCAATCATATAAAAATAAAGTATTTCATTACTTATCGTACAAATACACAGTATCGGTTAAAAGTATCGCATCACTTATAGAAACAGGAAGGTTATTACTTTAATGAACAAAAAAAATATATAATTATCACAAAATTATATCTTATCGCTGTTATTTTATGCTTTAATATTAATTAATGAACAAAAACACCTAGGGATAAAAAGACTTATTCATTTTGCGATACGGATTTTTTTGTATTTTTAAGGGGTAATGTAATCCTTTTGATCTCGATACTGTTAATATAATACAAAGTTAAAATCACGTTTTAACAATAGTAACAAATCCAATTATTTTTTTCACTATAGCATGCCGTAAAAACAGATGTCTAATTGTGTTTCCGTAGTTAATCGTGCTCCATTTTTGTCTAGCTCTCGCATTTTTTTTTTTTTATTCCTCGTCTCTTCTCGGTAACATGCGAATTCGATTCGTGTTTCCGTCGTCCAGTGCGTTTCACCAAGAGCAAGCGAGCGTGAGTTATTTGAATTTACTTTCGTGCTGTATATCGGTTAGACGGTAACTTTATTGCCAAACGTTAATAAAAAATGCTAGAAGTTAATTGTGTGTTTTCACAACGTTCTCCATATTAACAATTATTCATCTTTTATTGCATGAGAAAGTTTTTTTAAAATATTATAGTATTTTAAAGTTAGATAGTATTTCAAAGTTGTTAGTATTTCAGAATTATACTATTTTAAATATATTTTTAATTAATTTTATATTTAATTATATTATTTCAGAATTTTTTACTTTTATGATATTATTCACTAATTTTTCTAACATCTATATTATAAATGCAATAAATTTAAAAAAAAAAAATGAAAAGAGTCTTTGTATTATGTATTTTCTCTAAAAGTAAATGTTTTTCTTTTTTCTTATATTTTACACATTAATCTTACTTTATCAAATTAAATATTCAAAATAACAACATTTGTAATATTCTTTTATGAAAATAATTTTCTTTAGTAATTTTATTAATTTAATACATGAATAATGATAACATCAACTGAAAAAAAAAAATATATATATATATAATGATATTGATTATATATATAATTATATAATGAACTGAAAATAGAAACGAGCAAAGGACATTCGCTGCAAACAATATTTCCGGCGGAAACGCCAGTCGAATAGATAGACAGGGACTTTATTATAAGATCCAAAATGACCGCGTTGAATATTCCGAACGAAGTGTCACGATGGCTTTGAAAGCTTATCGAAAAGCTATACTTTTATTATGATAATGTTCGAAAGTGATTTTGATAAGAACCATCCGGTCGTCTCAGATTAACTTTTATAAGCAATCGAATTTAGCTATAAAAAAACGCGTACACACTAAAACCGAATTTAACTATAATCAAGAAATTATATGCGTCTTGTATTTATAATGTTATCAAAGATATAAAATATATAAAAAATAAATAATTCTTTAAATATATATTATTGAGAATATATTCATAATCTATCATCTATAAATTGAGTCGATATGATCTTTTCAATCATTTCAATTCTATCAAACCTGATTAAAAAGGTTATTGTTAATATCGTTATTACAAAAATTTAATGAAAAAAAATTTAAATATTACAAAACTTATTTCTGTACCATTGCAAAAACATTTTTATTTGATATATTTTGTAATATTTTTAGATATGTAAAAAAAAGAAAAAAGATAGCAAAAAATATATGCTGTACTTTAACATTTTATAAATATATGTGAAAATAAAAGAGAAAGACTTAAAACTAAATTAAATTAAAAATTAGTTTTAATTAAAACTAGTCAAAAAGTTTTAGATAAACTGCATCAAGCTGTTGAAACTAAGGGGAAAAAAGAGGAAGCATCGATTTTTTTATGTAGAAAAACATTCTTATCTAGGAGAAAATATACATGTCAAACAAATATGCGTACTGCTCCAGCCATCGTCCATAAATTTCGCGAGTGTTTCCCAAGCGAGCGCATCTAATCCCCGATGCATTCTTATGGAGCTCACCTTCTCGGCTTCGGCTATTAATCGTGTCTACGCGACGGCGCACCGTACGGCCGCTTCATTATGGAGAACATTAACGTGAGGCGGCACGTATACGCCGAAAAATTTAAAATGCACGAGATCTAAAGCTCGGTTAATAAACGCGTTTAGTGGTAGTAAAACTTCTTGTTAATGGCGCGGCCGACTTTATACGCTTTACCGCGCAAAGTTCCCAAAGGACGAAGCTGCTTTTTATGCCGTCGAAACAATGTGGGATTTGATATAAATGTCTTGGGCAAATAAGATCGAGATAAACGATCGTACTTTAAGAATTTTCTCTTTATTCCTTTATTTTTCATATCAGAATGTCTATTTGAATAGCATAAATTTTAATCTTTTGAGAAAGATTATTTTAACTTATAATTACACAGAGAAAACAAGATTCTCTCTCTCTTTCCAGTTTTTAAAATGTGTATAGCAGTATTTATAATAGATAATACGTACGTGTAATCAATTTAAAAATAAAATGCCATTTTGTTTTTAAAATAAAAATAAACAACGTATAATTGATTATATTTCTCAAATAATTGATCGTATATGAATCTAACAATTTTCTCAAATTGTTGCAGCGGTATCTCAGGAAAGCCCAGCGATAACGGGGCAGGAAAAGACGTATGCGAATGGCGACGTGCTCGCGCTGAATTGTACCAGCGGCAAGTCCCATCCTGCCGCGCAACTCAAATGGTTCGTTAATGGCGAGCAGGTGAGTAATCACTTTTAAACATTTCTCGAAAAGTACTTTTCGCAGCATCGGAAGGGGAAGATTTCGCAAAGTAGAAGCATCGCTCGTAAACCGAATCTTGTACCGAATCGTTTCGGCCAAAGTAACATGGATAAAAATAAAGTAGAATACGCGCGCGCACATGACAGGGAGAAAATGGAATATGACGATCGATATCGTATTATTGTATCTTTGTCGGTTGAAAGCGTTTGCAACAGCGACTCGCTGCCGTACGGGTGACCAAGCTTCGTACAAAATCCGTAGAACATATATGTATAGCGTTAAAGCTTGGAAATAGCACCAGCAACGTAGTCCGGTGAAGCGGTCACGCGTCGAGGTCGGATGGTGTTGCATCGGGGATAGTATTGGCGAGATCCGGACGGCGTGAAAAGCGAGCGAGGAAAGGGAAGAGCGAGCGGCGGGCAAGCTGATTTCACAGTAAGCCGACTGAGAGAGAGTTGGGCCGTCGCGGCGACGTAGCTCGATTTCATCGCGCAAGCAACGGCGACGCTTGATGAGCCAAAGCTCTAATTAACGGCCGGCGAAACGGATCCCTCGTACAGTAACATCGACCACCACTGAACACCGCTGTTCAGCGCCTTCCAATGCGCGTCGTATACCGGTGTCGCACGGTGATTTTACTCCCGCTTTCCATCTCTCGTTTCTATCCAGTCAACTCCAAACTTCTGTTTATAACCTCGCGGCGAGCATCGCGAATCGAATTGAAGCGAATCGGAAGCGTAAAGGGACGAAGGCCCGAAGGGACGCGACGGGAAAAAGACCACGACTCTCTCATTAATCCAGAGCGTACAATAAGAAAGGGCCAATTTGCGTTTGGTGGAAGAAGAGCGACCGGAGCGAGAACGAAGATTCGCACGAGAATTCCCCGCTTAATTGTTATCTCCTGCTTGCCGCACGATAATCCCAGATGAATTCAGAAAAGAGCGGGCTTTATTCTTATCCTATCCGTTCACTTTGCTCGTGTTTTTAAATCTAGCACGCCTAGCACCGTCTGTCGTTCGTCGATGTCTGTTTTTCGCGCACTGAGAACAGACACGTTCGATAAATCGAGAGAGAAAGAGAGAGAGGGAGAGTTTTATTCGGCGTGGGGAATTTTTATTTCTCTCGTTTCACGTTATTATTACAAAGTTTCCATTCTCTCGTCACGAATAATTCAATCCTCCTATCGCTCGAGGCCATCGTAGCTTCTATCGCATGCATATTGATGTATCGTTATCGGCTGCCGAGGGAAGAAAACGCGGACATACTCTTGGCTCGGGGCGAGAATAAGGAAGAAATTCGCTAAAATCATCTGGAGGGAATGCCGAATATCTTGGCTCCGGTTTTTGACCGGAGCAGACTCGTAATTATTTTCATCCTACGGAGAATAATAGGAACAATTAAATACGCTAGGGAGAGATGCTATAGATCCAAGTTCCAAAGAGAATATTAATCTTATCTCGAGCAGAGAAGGCAAAGGATTACAACAATCGTAACTTACGCGGGATAAAAAATTACTAACAGTTTCTTTTCTGTTTGCAATCTTGAATAAATTTATGTATATATGTAAAATAAGTAGACCGGATTATAATTGGATTGTGTTTCTCGCAAGATTTTCTTCCGATGTTGTAATACCGAAAATATGAAATCGCGTATTCAATTTGATACATAAGAAGGGCTACTTCTTTTAAACGAAAGACTATTCACTGGCTGTGATGAGCAGAGACGGAACGTAGAAAGTGTCGATAAACTCGGGGCTTACGTTGAGAATAGGCAAATGGCGTAGCGTAAAATGCTTTCCGGTGAAGCTTTAAAGAGTTAAAGATTACGCCAATATAACGAGCGATGCTTCTTTAGAGCTTCTTTACAGTGGATCGCATGCGGCGGCGCCAAAACTTTCTCTCTTATCTTTTGGATTCCGGCCTTCCTTTTCCGCGGAAACATACCCCCACCTCTTTTACCCCGTTTTCCCTTCGAGAAAACTTTGCAACGTTCCCAACGACGTCCATTAGAAGTTGCGCGAGTTTAGTATAGCACTTAACAAGTAATATTGTTTCGGAAATGTTCGTGTCGCGAGACTCGAAAAACCTGTTAACGCGAGTCAAGTAATCTTGCGAAGGGAAAAAGTTCGATCACTCGCCAACTTCGGAAATATGTCGCGGATGAGCAGCATATAATGGAAGAATCATTGTCGTTATAAAGTGACGAAAAGATCGTAGAACCGATCAAATTGGTTTCTGCGTTGAAAGATCTGTTACCTTTGTTTCCTTCTCGGGCATACTCGTGAATTCTTTTTTCTGTTTTAATTTTACGTTTGCAATCGACAGATAAAAACTTTACATTTATTCATTTTTAATTTCGCATGTGACTCTATTTAATTTTTAATATTTTAACCTCTTTAAAAGAATATTGGTATACATATGCGTACATTAAAGCGCATAAAATTCTTTCAGGAATAATTAAATACACAATGACCATATATAATATATTATTTTTTTCAGAGGTTTTAAGTACTCTCCAATTTTTTTCTGTTTTATTTAATAATTGTGTAAATATTTTGGTAAAAAAATATAATTGAAAAAAATGATAAAAAAGTTTTTTCCAATTTCAGTAAATTCGTCTCCAAAGAGCTTAAATTAAATATCACTGTTAACAATTATTAACAAGTTATTCAGTTTCATGATTTATTTATCTTCAAATAATTGTATATATATATATATATATATATATATATATATATTTATTTATTTATATGCGTGTGGATTTTATCAAACAAATTTTAATTAATTTTTTGATAAGTATGAACTAAAAAATAAATCGAAAAAAATATCGTATCTCTGAAAATTAAATAAAAAAATAACTTTAAAATTGCATATATTCTAGTTTTTTTTATTATTATCCTAATTACACACAAAAAGATAAAGTCAGTGTGACGCGTCATAATCATTCACGAGAAAAAGCGAGGGCAGCTGATTTCCAGATCGCTAACCTCGTAATAGTCATGCGTCTTTCAACCCTTTATCGTCAGGTCGTCGTATAAAAGCAGCGAAAATGGCACCACTCAAGGATTGCCATATACCGGTTGAACGAGTATTTTTATGAATTATGTTGCTGTAAAAGCAAATGCCATTGTGGCTCGTAGCATCATTGCGAAACTACAATGAATATTATATGTTCACGATCGTTTGCATCTGCGAGGATAATAGATCAAGGATTACTGTGCCGAGTAAATATTATTAGCCGGTGCATAAAAGCTAGCTTCCTTTCAAACGTCCATTTCGGACGAAATATATTCCGCAATAATTAATTAGTTTATATATTATATATTAGTTAGTCTTTACGATAATTTTGGTTTTTATCTAAACGAAAATATACGTATATTGTATATTTGTTTATGATTATAGAAAGCTATAAGTTATCATTAGAGCTTATTTTTCAATCGAAAATCATGAATTATCGATCAAAAATACGCTAGAGGTTTCGATAAATAAGCTAATAAGAGAAGGAAAAGGTAACTCGCGCAAAAGATTGCGTTATTTTTTATAAAATAAAACTCGCTTGTATTTCGATGGAACACAAATACAAGGAGAAAAATCTAAATTGTAAGATTGAAGAAAATTGTTGGCGTTATATACACATATATATACTATAATTCAGTAGAAAAAGAGATGTGATCAGAAATGATGGCAATTGCAAATCGCAGTGGATGCAATTAACAGACTCAGCAACATCCGAGTAATTTAAAAATGATTTAATTTCTCGGCTTTTAAATTTTCTTATCTCTTTTCGTTGTTACTTTTTATCGAGCACACGTTAAGACAAACTGCCGGACGACAATTGTTCAAAGATAAATATATAAGTGCGCCGTAGATATGCCAGGAGAAATGATAAAATTGCATCGTATTTTTGCACAAAGTGGAATATATGCAGCCAAATGTACAGAGTAGCGTATCAGGAACGAGTGTGCTTTCGCTGTACAAAGAGACATACGGTGCTCGGCAACAAAAATCAGAGACAAGGAAGCATTGTAGAATTCATAAGCGATGCAGAAAATACGGAGCGAGCGCGTTAAAATTTATTGATAATATGCCGAAACAATATCAAGCCGTTGAAATATTTCAACGTAATGGCCGCCGGATCTTTGTCATTCTTGAAATACCGGCATTCCTTTTGTACATCATCAGCATTCTTGCCTCGAGACGCGCTTATCCATCCGAGGCGAGGCTCGACTTATCCTCGACAACATTCAAACGAAACCCAAACTCGTCCCTTTCACCCCATTTGCGTAATCGTGCCACGGCAATCGCGCGATTTCGTTACCTTAATTACGAAATTCTGCACTTCAAACGAGCGTCGACGTCGAAACTTCCGACAAAGTTTCGTCTGTCAACTTTCGCACGTTCCGCACCGTTGCCCATCTTGCTCAACGCGTATACACGCACAGGCGGTGCCAAAGTTTTTCGTTCATGATAGAAATATTTAAGAGTCTGTCCTGTGTGCACAGTCGCATAAAGTTCAACTCGCACGTGCACACGCGAAATTACAGTCATAAGGTGGTTTATTAATAGGGGGTGACAAAGTCGAGCCTCGATTTTCGAAGATAAACGGGAGGACACACAAAGTCCTACAGAATAAAATTGGTAGAACGAGAGGGAAAAGACGATGCGGAATAAGCGAGCAGAATTGTCGTCGAGGCAAAAAAATGGAAATTTTAGTCGCATAAAGTACGACATACGGTATAAAGAAAGACTGAAAGACTTGAAAGACTTGAATTACAAAGCGATGTCCGTATATCTGGCTGGTTGCATAAAGTCAAGACACGAATACGACGAATCTGACAAACGCGTTTGAAGAAATGTTGGAAAGTATCATTAATACATTTCACCGCGCGTTATCTTTTACCGTAATAAATATTAATCATAAAAAGATGCCTTCGCGCCAACTACGTACGTTTCTTTGAGCGACATCATTCTGATATTAATACAGTATAAGGATAAAAAGGATAAAGAACGTTTCCACGATGAATTAGTATTGCAATTTTTGCTACTCTAGATACATTCATGAATTACAAAATTATACGCAGCATTTGATTTATTTATTTATTAATTGAATGATACATAATTTTAACATTACAAATAAATGTGTTGAAAGATATAAAACAAGAGATTTAATCAAAAGTAATAAGTACTAAGCACATATTTGTAGAAAATTTAACAGTAATGTAAAACAGGAGAGTGAGAGAGATAGAGAGAGAGAGGGAAAAAGAGGGGAAAAGTAAATAATCATATGATAAAATTAAAATTTATTAAAATAAATAAGGTTTCCTTTTATATAATATATAATATAATATACGTAATATAAAATAATATACGTAATAATAAAACATATTTCACATCTCTAGCATTTATGTAAAATTTATTCTCATACATGGAAAAATTTATTCTCATACATAGAAAAATAGTTTTTAATCGTTCTATATTTTTCACATTTACTGAGTTAATGACTATAATACATTTACTATATGATTGCAATCTCATATATAATAATGAGAACTTTATCCGCGATACCGGCTGTTGTTTGCCAACACAACTGTTTACATTTAATTCCATTTCAACACGATATCCCGTAATCAAGTTCGCGATAATCTCGAAGCTGTCGCACCGATATTAACTTCGTCTCTAAACGATATTTGTTCGCTGTATCACGTTGCATAATGCACACCCGGTAGGATCAGTGAAATCACGTCGAAGCAACGTGCGGATGCATTATCGAGGCCTGCGGCATCGCATTTACGCTTCCTATTTCCTCTTCGATGTCTTTGCGTTCGCCGAGACGATGCATTCCACGCATCCCTTCTTCTTCCCTCGCATCTTGGCTTTGCGATACTACGTCTATGATTTATTAGATGCATAATTACCTCATACGTATCCTTGCGTCATATGCTCTTGCGATTTATGTCGTCCTTCTTATGCAAGGTTCTTAGTCCCGAGAGAATCTCGATTAATTAACACGGATTAGAAACTGGAATAATAATGTCTCTTAAAAGCGAATATAATTAAAGCGAAGATAACTGTTCTTTTATAGACTAATTTATGCACTAATATATACGACTAATAATATTTTTACACTTTCTTAATAATTTATCAATCTCTTAAAATTAGACGAGCTTTCAAGTTAATTAATTACGTAAAATTATGACTAATCTAAAGTAATTTTGAGTGAGATAATAAAGATTTATTTATAGCACGACAGTCGGTCTATTCATATTCGAAGCTTATAATAGCGATCGATCGATGATTCCATGTTCGGAACTTATTCATTCTTTCCCGATGCTCGAAATCGGAAAGTTACTTTCAATGCAATTGGATTTGGTCGCCGCAAGGGAAAACGTTACTGCAATGAACGATGTTTTTTCCAGGTGAAATCCGATTCGGAAATGGTGTTCGAGCAACACGGACTGTACTCAACGATATCGAGTCTGCTGCTCGAGCTAGAGCCGGGTCATCTCGCAAGCGACAAGATAAACGTCAGGTAATATCGGTTTTTACAACGTGTAGTATATTTCCGTCGTTCGACGTAGCTGTTGCTTATGGCACCTCGGCACATACCCCATAAATATACATCGCGCTTGCTCGCGAGCAGGAGTTCGTTTTACGCGAGTTTCGCGCGATGGAGCGCGATAATTTACCCTTTTGTCTGACCGGCCTAGAAAAACTATCGCGCTCTGACCCCGAAGCATGATCGAATGTCTTGTTGCAGGTGCGAAGCGACGGTGCGATCGAGTCACGACATCAACAACCCGTTCATCGACACGCGCAACACCGAGGTCTTCGGTAAGTTTACATGACGCCACGTACAATGATATATAACCGGTGAATAAATCGGGGCTGAAGCTCGAAGCTTGCGTGGCTACGATAATGATAATTGCCGCGTCTCGTCATTTTTAACTAAATAAATTAAACCCACATAAAAAACGAGAATTTAAAATAACGTTTGATTGATGTATATATATATATAATCTTCATTTTTTAGACGATACACGATAATACTATATTAGATTATATTAGAAACAGAACTCTATGTACAATATACTGTGTGAACATACGAGTAGAAAATCTATTTGCAGAGAAATAGGAGGTTACAATAAAAAATCACTATAAAATTAATAATTGCATTAAAATTTCCTGTTTCTATATATATCATTTTATTAGATAGAAATGCATATCAGAGATGTATGTCAAATGTGCAATAAGATGAGAAATTTAATCTATGCACTTTTTAACTATATATGTAATTTGAAATAGCAATGTCTCGATCTCGAAAATAGATCATAGGTTCAAGAGAAAATTAAATAATTTTTGCACATATGTAGACATTTATTTTTTAAAATTACCATGGATACATATAGTTAAATGATAATAAACAGATGGTAGATCTGAAAATAAAAAGTCAGTGAGAATAAAATTCAATTACACATGCACAAACTTTTTTATATCTATAGTTTTACATTTATACAATTCAATAAGTTATAAATACGATTCCGTCTCGAATTTTATAGAGTATGTAAAATTAGAATCACACACTCTAGCCACTAGCCACTACTTGGAATCGAATGTTTGTATTCGCTATAGTGAGTTCCAATTATCGATATTCTGTTCGTTTCTTTTAAAGCAACTCCACTCGAGGGAATTTATACGCTTTATTATTTCCTGGCATGCGAAATTAGCGTGGGACCTGGCGAGGTCCGGCCAGCTCGTGGAGAGAGCAAGGGTTGCGGAGAAATTAAGACAATAATTTACAACCGTTACCACCTGCTCTCGCGCAACACGGGCTGGCCCGATCGTACCTACGGCTACTTTAATCTTTTCTCGTCGCGTCTCTTCGGATTCGCTCGCAACCGCGCGTCGTTCATTATCGTGTTTAACTTAAATTAACCCTATTTTTCCCTTGAATCCTCCTGCTTCGTCGTCCTTCCTTCGCTTTCCGTCTCTCCTCACCTTCGAAGCCGTGTTATAAGGCAATCGATACATACGGAGCATACACGCAATAAGGGCGAAATTACGGCGATGCGGAAACGCTTCGTTTCCCTTGCACGAGATATCGTCGAGAGAGAAAATCGGAACGGCGAATTCGAAGAGGTGGAGGAGGGTGGGAGGGAAGAGGGGGGAGGATACGTGATTCATCAAATCGTATACAGTGGTGTGTCTCGTATGTACTCGCATTTCCGGCAACGCCCGGCGTGCAACGCGGTTAAATATTTATCAACTAATCCCTCGCGTCACGCAATTCGAGTTACAATAAGAAATTCACGATACGCGCGTGGCGTTACAACGCGTGCATAGCTTGCGTGGGTGTGCGTGTGCGTGCGCGTGCGTGTAGGACATGCGTCGACATATATATATATATATATATATATATATATATATATGTGTGTGTGTCGACGTATGTGTATGTGTATCACGAGAGTTTCACCGCAACATTTTTCGACTCGCTCGATAGACCATAAATCGACTTTTCGTAAACGAGCGCACTCGTTTACACGCGGTGCGATGACAATATTTCGTGGTGATGTAAGCACGCTATTTTTCGTGGGAACGCGCAGACATTCGCTGCTGACCGGTCGTTGAAATCGCAATGGCAGCAGCCGAGCAAGAGGGAGAAAGAGATGCACGCGCGGTGCACTCTCCGCCTGGAGCATCGCGCTTCGATTCGGGTCAATTTTGCCAGAATGAGCCGCCACAGTCGATCAGCCAGCGATTCACACCATTTTGAACGCGCGTATCTCTCTTTTATTAGGGTCACAAAAGTAATCAACGATTTACCGCATTTGTATACGATCGTACATGCCGGTGAAAAATACGTCGAAAAATACGCAACCAGTGGAACACCTGCGGCGGACACGTTTCTCGTATGTAATTTAGAGAGTGTTATTACATGTCGCGCGCTCCATATTCTTGCTAGTTACAGTCGCCGAGTTGTCGGCATTAAAATTCCGGAAACGATTATAGACGGCGAGCGGTGTGTTAAAAATTAAAAGAAAGAAAGAGATAATCGATAATTCGTCCACTTTGCGACGCGATTAACCGAATGAAAGAAAAATATATAGTATATATTGTCGAGAAATTCCTTCGGCTGGAGAGTTATTTCGCGCGCGTGCGTCGCGCGAGTGATTGACGGAAATGAAATTTCTTTCACCTGTATAACAATCGCGATCGGCGGATAAACATTTTCGCGATTCGACAACGACGAGCGATTTTTGAGAATGCGTCACGAGGCCGTAACGATTCATGCATTACGAATGCGTAACGAGAATAATCAAATGCGCGTTAGTCGCGTGTTCTGTCGCGTCACGCCGCGCAATACAAATCCCGCGAGCGGGCGGGTGGGCGGGCGGAGGGAATTACAATGCATATAATACGCGGCATTTGACTAGCTCCGCCGTATAACTACGCCATTGTAAATCGACAAACATTTCGGCGCATACAAACGTGGCTCGCGTTATCGGAATCGTTTTGTGCGGTAACCGCGGCGGCGCCTCGCGTTTAGAAATATTTCAAACGTAAGTCAAGCCAATTCGCGTACATTGTTTAATCATCTCGAGGCGCCTTGGGTAAAATTTCAATGCCGCGAAAAGCCCCGATTTTGTGACCAAAATGAGAGATTAACGTTGAATGATTAACGTATAATGAGTTTTCGCGAACAAGAAGACAACAAGAGGATATATTTCCTTTTTTTAATCCGTAAATAATTCCTGAATTTATTTGAATAATAGCATCGGATGATAACTACACAACATTTGTCACGATCGGTCGCTATTTATCGTAATTATGCATTCAAGAATTATCGAGCATACTCATTGTAATGATGAACGAAATGTGACGAAGAGTCGCATGCTTTTATGGTCGTTAAATATCCCGTTGAACGGCACTCGGCCTAATTAGATAAGTGGGCCTCTCCGAATATCGACCGATGCACGAGACACGGGGGTAAAAGGGTAAAAGAAATAAACGCGAAAGGGTAACGGACACGCGGTGGAGAGCCTCCTCACGCGAGAAAGAGAGAAAGAAAGAGGCAGGCAAAAGGAAGAGGGAAGGAGATAACGTCTGTCGGTGAAGTCAGATCGAACGACACGGACAGGCAGAGAGGACAGGTAAAAAGAGGCAAGGCAAACCGGAAAAGACGCCGAACGACTCGAAGAAATTGCTCTTAACGATCTTCGATTTTCTCATTAGGCGGAATCGTTCTTGGAAGCGCTCTACGCGACGGTCGCTACGCCTCCTGCATTTATCGCCGAGGTAGCTACCTTATAGCTCGAACCTCCAACCAACTATCAGTTTTCTTTCTATCAACGGGACCCACCCCTATCGTCTCCCTGTGTCGCTCCTCTCGTTCTCGCTCTCTCTCGTCCTGGTTTCCCTCCACGCGACTTTTCGAATTATTCCCCCTTTTTTCCTCCCTCGTTCCTTTAACCTAGTCGCTATTTAACTCGGCCACGGCGTCGTCAATCTCGCCAAAGTGTCTGACTTGGCCCCAGCTTTAATTCATTTTAACTGAATAAAATGAATTAAAGCTGGATAACTCTTAAAAAATGTCACTTTAAAACATTGTCGTAATATTTTGTTAATTACGTAATTATGTTTGTGCTATAGAATAAAATATCGTGTTATACATATATTTATTATACGCTACACGAATATATCTATCGCGTTACTAATTTACTAATTTAATACTTTAATAATGAAAATAATGAATTAAATTACATATTTTTTAAAAATTGTAATTATTGTAATATATTAAGTTGCCATTATAAAATAAGACATTAAACCGGCAATTAACATATAATTATTGAATATCAATTTTGCGTTTGCAATTCTATTTTTAAAAAAGTGGAGAACATAAAGCAAAATATAATAATATAAGTAACAAAATTGAAAAATGGAATAAAATTTTAGCGCTAGAATATGAATACCTAGATTTTATCACATACTTTTTTTCGCAAAAATCACAGAAGAGAAATAATAGAAGAGCGATGACACGTTCGAGACAGGTAGTAGCGACCCTCGATCATATACTTCAATGCGTAACTTTTATATGAAAAGCGGAAAGACTATACGCGTAACTTTATTCTTTTCACAAATAATATCGAAACGCAGCGAGAATGAACCGACAATAGCTCCGGCTGGGTTATGTTATATCGACGATATTGTATTTCTCTTTATATTTCCGGAATGAGCTGAATGCCGTTCTCTTCGAAGCGTGAATAGAAATACCGCACATATTCGTTGGCTTGTTCTCGACGAAAAAAAATAGAATATAAAATAACACTCTGAAAAACTGTATCGAGTAGTTAGATGATTTTCAGTAATTCAACAGGACTCTCGAGTTATGTCATATGAATGACTGGTATTGTCTGTCTGTTTACCTTGCCTGAATAGCGGTTACATTGTTTTGCTTTTTCACATGATGTATGACAGTCACGTTGTCACAAGTCTGTAATATTCTTCTTATTTTCTACCGGAAGAAGTAACGAATTCTCGTTGGGCTTTATTGCGGGTCAATCTTTCACCAAAGAGAAAAACAATCGGATTGCTTTATAAAATTTTTATTATAATAAAATATTAACGCAACTGAAAGAGACTGAAAGAGACTGAAAGAGACTGAAAGAGACTCTATTCTGGTTTATTATAATTTCAATGAATTAATGTACCAGGTATGTAACATTTTACATGTACATACATGTACATACGCGTGAGTAGGATACATTTTTATGGTAAAAATATTTTTTTGCGTGACGCATTTTATGACGCTCACTGTAATTCATCATACATACACATGTGACATATTGATTTTTCATTCAATGACCACATTTTTCTTCGTTAGATTTTTACGTGTTACACGTATTTGAATACAGAGTCGGATAAGGACAAAACTAACAACAAACTAAAGAAGCTATCGGCATTGAAAATGCGCAGTAATGTAAGAATAAGGATCATGTTTGTGAAGTCGTTTCATCTTGTTACAAGATGTGTCCAAAAGTTACACGTTACAGTTAAACTACGGCATCTCTAAAGGAAATGAGCTTATCGAGTTGTCTCAAAGCACTCGTGCGCCATGGAAGTAACAATCTCGATTTAGATTATCTCCTATCTGGGGAAAAATTTATAATTTAAAATCTATAATTATTATTGCCTGCAAATCCTGCAAATAAATGATATACGCGCAAGCTTACACAGATCTCTAAACTACGCATTTTTATTAGATATTTTATGTATCCTTATAATGAGCTTTATATTTTTTCCGATTATTATATTTTTTAATTTTACTAAGAAAAATTTGCTTAATTTATGATTTGGCAGATAGACGGATTTATTTTTTAAAATCACATATATACACGAAATAGATTAATATATGTATAATTTTTTATAGAAAAAAATTACACATGCACTTACATACAAAATTCTTATTCATATTTTTTCACGTATGCACTTTATTCATATTATTTCGCACTGATGTGACAACAGAGGATTTGCGACGAGTGATGTTTTTTTTTATTCTATTATATAATTTTTATCTGCGACTGTCTGTAACTGGAATAATTAAATGTCTCTCATACAATTGATATTACATTGTCATTCAAGTTAAAATTAGAATCTTTTCTCCACTAGATGGAAATTCAATTGTCATTAAATCGGACACGAAAATATTATTTAAAAAAAACTTTATAAAAGCAAAATAATAAGACAGCTTGTAATAATTAATTTGTAAATGATAAAAATATATCATTTATACTAGAAATTTTTTTAATAAGCTTTAAATAAATAATTTTATATTATATTGAATATTTTATATTATATTGAATATTTTATATTATATTGAATTTTATATTATATTGAATATTTTATATTATATTGAAATAATTTTATTATATTGAATAAATTGTTAATTTTTCTATTTTAGTTGTGAAATTGTTACTGACAGTCGTATCAAAGACAAATGGAAGAAAAATATCAATCTCTAAGCTTTTCATTCCATCATGTTTCAGTTCAAGGTCTCGCTACCCTGACGACTCCTTCGCTATGTCTGCTGGCAGCAGCGGCCCTACAACGATTTCTGCTGCCCGTGTAATTCCTTCGAAGAGGACGTCGAGACGATTTTAACATGAGAGAAGACAGGGGGAGAGCGATTCATGGAGGAAACAAAAGGCGAGAGGCAAAAGTTTCGTAATGAAAGACAATCATATCTTAATACGGAGCAAACTGCGACGAGAAAAATCGGAGGATATATTAGAATTATTAATCGTTAACAGCGAACAATCCTCGTGATTTTTACGTCGCGGTGCCTTCTCGTTAGAGAAAATATCGAGCTGGTCGAGCATAGATTTGCTCGTCTTTGTTCTCGAGAATACTTTGTGCCCATCTCCCCGACATATATAATCTTAGATAGTTTAATTAATCGCGAAAGAAAGTACGCGACATATAATCGAGTGGACACATCTACGAAATTCTCGCACGTACAAGAAACTCCTTCTCGGCGAGCATCGATTCCGTTGGAGTCGATATCTGCGTCATGATTTGTGAAATCGGGGATTCAAACTCTCGATAATGGGAGGGAACTTTTCTAATTTTTCATCTTGATGATATATTTGGAAAATAAAAGCTTTTCCTTCTACAATTGTAAAATAAATTTTGAATTAAATTCGTCAAATTATAAATACGTTCAATAGAAATGCAATAGAACGTAATATTAGAAATTATTAATGAAATTACAAGATCAAGTTTTGTTTTCTTTATGAATTTGAACCCCAGAAATTTTATTTCACGTATTATATTTCTAATAGTTCAAAGAGAGAAGAGGTGCAGTCAACTGGAATTATAAACGAAAAATGAAATTTTTCGAAAACAAGAACAGTAAGTCTTACTGCTGTAACAGAAATAACATTAGCGAATAACGAGAATTTAAAAAGTGAAATAAAAGAGAATATAACGAGCTAGAAATATATCTGGCAATGTAAATAATGACGTATATTGATTTCCATGTGCAATTTTTATTATGGTGCAATGCCTTTGACATCTACAGTATTTTTTAAACGAAATAATAAGTGTGTGAATTTTATGTTTTGTATTTTTGTATCTGAATTTTTTTCATCTCGTCTATATTTATCTCAACTCGAAAGCATCATCTGAAAATAGAGAAAGAACAACATGTATACGAAAAAAATTTCTCGGGGAAGTAGCTTTAAAAACAACGTATTATCTTTTGCATAAAATTATATAACTTTTATTATGTACAAATTATTTTATGATATATAACTATAAAATTGTGCGATTGTTTGTTGAAAAAATGTCGAGGATGTTGCACCACAAAATTCGAGAATCCTCTCGACGTGATATCGTTGTCAGTGATAATGGGCGCAGCAATTGTCGTCAGAATACAATCATTATCGATTGTATCGTGCAGCGACCGAGTGTAAATATATACAATCCTTAGATAGATAGATACGTTTTCATCGGGCCTCGTCGTAAGCTTCCTTCATTATAATTATAACTTTTAATTGGTACGTGTGTGATTAATATAAGAAGCCAAGAAGAAACTCGAACATCCAATAGATGCTCCCTCTCTCCTTTTAATGCATACGATAATACAATTTTATGCCTAAAAATCCGCTTGAGCAAATTTAAAAGTATTTTGCTATTTGGGTAAACAGTAATGCTTGGGCAAAATCATTTTTAATAATGTGGAAAATTATGATAAGCCTTGAAAAAAAATATATTTATTTTTATATGACATTTGTGTCAAAATGTATGTTAAATTGCCTAATATTAAATTTGCCTATCATTTCGCGTCTGTTTCTAATTTATTTAAGTATTATTCAAGAATTATTAAAATTCTTAAAATATGTGAAATTGAAATTTGATGAGAATGTCAAGGTTAAATAAATTTATAAAACGTGTAATTATAAAATATTAACATATATTTCATTTAATTCTTTTAAGCAAATTTAAAAAAATTTAATTATTTTATTTTTAATTTAATATATGTATTTAATAACGATAATAATTTTTTGGACATTTCCCTACTATAGTATTATTCTAATTTATTTATATTATTTTATATGTCGTGCTTAATTAATTTTAATTATGAATGTATAATACTAACGAATATACATGTTTAAAAATTAAAATATGATAAATTGAAAGTATGATTTCTACAATCATAATCTTATAAAAAATGAAGAAACTTATCGGTCCACTGTTTACCCTATGCATTTGATACTTGCGAGATCGTGCAGAAAATGCGAAACGAACACGAGAGCTATAACGAGAACTGCGTGAAGTGTTTATTTTTTTTGCAATGCAAACATATATATAAACATATACACACAGAACGGTAGCGGCCGCCATCAGCGATCGCGAACGATCGGAAAATATGATTCATACACATAAGCCGATTAATTTGCAAAGTTCAACGTACACACAGCTGACGTGGATATTTATACAGGACTCTCCGTGGAAATGCGTTATTTTTTCACCCGAGATTAATAGTTGTTACATTCCCGCATCCGAATGTGCGTGCCACGATATGTTTTTGCGTGTCTCGCATGTATAGTCGTGTGTGTCGCCACGATCGACGAATCGACATCGCGTGTGTCGCATAATAAATATAATAAAATATCACGCCAGGTTCTCGTAAGAAACGCGAGTATCAACGAAACGTTCTCTCCATTCAAAGAATATCGATATCTCAACGAAGCGGATCTATAATTGAAAGTTGGACATTAATTCTCGCGATAAATTCAGATGAGAGCATATTCATATAGATATTACGCGATTAAGAAACCGCTTATTGAAGCTTAGTGAAAAGCATTTTTGGCAAGGAGAGATTGATTCAATAAATTATTCAAATATCTCTGAAGATTTTCGCGAGTGATAGCAACTCTTTCGCGCTTAATCGTATATACACTAATTTTTCACAACGCACAAAATCCACTTGGAATAGTACGCAGAATTATTTTGTATATCAGGTATTTGAACGCGTAATTTATCTTCGCACGTGTGAAAATTTATTTGTCGTTAGCTTTTTTATAATACAATTCGCACGTACAATTTCTCAGATATATTAAATATTTTAGAAGAGAATCAGCGATGTGACGATGTAGCGTACGAAAGTATGATAGACACGTATGCAGAAAGGACGTTACGTTATTCACTTTGTTTCGTTTTCCTTTGACATGCATTTTTATCGACAACAACGCGCAACAAATACGACCATTAAGCTCTTCCAGTTTCACGCTTCCTATTTCAGAATCGATAGCTTCCTACATAACGGCAACAAGGTCCCGCGATCGTGGGATTGTTCGCAGTATACGTCGGCGCTTATACGAAAAGTCGCGAGAACCTGTAAAAAGAAATGCGAGCGTGCAGCTGTTCGTTTATAGCAATTTCAGACCATAAATCGCACCGGAATGCTGTTGCGCGCGGTTTATCGGCAAATGTTGAATCAAGCACGTAGCGTTTCGGCGATAAAATTTGTGAGAAAAAGAAAAAATACATATGATTTTTTGAACGAATTATTACGGCACGCGTGTAGAAAGTTTCGCGCGATCGTGGTGTCTCTTTGACATGCAAAAGACCTGTCGGAACTTTCGCAGGCAGGAGGTGAAGTTTCGAGCGCGAGTTTATCATTAATTCTCGCAACGTGTTACGTTATGGCTTAAAAAGATGACGCGTCATCGTGACAGTATATACGTTATAATAGTACATCACACGGAGTATTCATTTGCTTCGATTCCTTTCTTCCGCGATTCTTAATTAAGAATCAAGAGTCCAAATAATTAGCGCGAGTAAACGGTTGTTCGAATAATTTTATACATATGAATAAATTATATCATTGCTATCCGAACAACAAAAAATTCTTTTCTCAAATACGCGCGTACGCACATCATTAATGTTTGACCAAAAACTGTAAACAAAGGTTATTATGAAGTATGATTAAAAAGTACTCAGTAATCAAAACGGTCATTTTAATCATTTGCTATTATTAGTTTATTAATTTGCACCAGTAAGTTCGATATAATTATTATTACGATTTCATCAGACCAAAATTATTTTTTAATAAGGAACACATCGATCGCCATCGGGCGCTTTTTAATGCAGTAATTCAAAGCGTCTCGTTGATATGAAAAATCCCAGTGCAAATAGCAATATATAAAATCCACGTTATATCATCGTCGTCATTTTCGAGCTCCAATTATCGCGCTTTGCCATATAGCTAATGATTTTCGCCGATTAACCGTTATTCAACGTACAAAAAATTGTATATAGCTGATATGTCTTTTGTGATTACGACAGGAGAACGCGAGGCACTTTACATTTACATATTACGGCGAGCAGGCTTAGCTTTTCATTTGCTTTCAAGTGTCGTTGGGCGGCAGTATGTTTTGCGACTTATCCAGGACATATCTCCGATATTTACGGCGGTGTTGGCCGAGCGAGAATTGTACATATATATATATATATAAATATATATATATATACCCTGTATATACCTGTGCATTGTAATGTATAATAATAAATTGCTCGAGGGGACAAAGGACTTCGTACCCCGGAAGTCTCGTGCGTGATTAAACGGACGCGGGTTGTCAATTTCGCATCCGACAGGAAGATAGCGGAAGTATTTAGCCATATATTGTGGAAGTGTTCAAATGGCGTGTCTCGAGATAAATATCGGGAACACCGCCAATACAGGTAAATAAGAAATGCATTGACGCGAAAGCGCGCCCGTTCATCTCCATTCTCGGCGCGCGAGATATAATTATTAAAAAAAAGACGATATACTCGATGTTAGCTTTCAGTTGTAACGAGCTTGTGAACACAGAGATACAGTACATACAGTAAAGACATCGGAAATGCGAAAAAAAATATGTAATGGTGGCGGTAATTGCGAGAGGTTTCTCGCTGTTACGAAGACAAAGAACTGTGCGTACTGTTCCGCTCTATCGAGAGATATCGAGAAACTTACGAGAAAAAAAGATTACGTTCTTATGTATATGGCCTAATGTATATATCTCGCGAATTTAGTAATAAATCATATTTCATTATATTTTCGGCTTTTATTATTCCTCAAGAAAAGCCCACAGATTGTATAAATGTTAAAAATTTATATTCTGATTATTGCTTACATAAATATATATATAGATTATTAGAGGCTTAGATGCATATTTTTTATGTATATTTTGATAAGAAAAAAGATAGAAGTAATTAAAATTAAGATTACAATATGTTTGGTTCTTCGATGTAAAAGCGGAAAAAGTTATGACCTGAACGTGAGGCGAGCGAGTTGATGTTAACGCATACAATTAATATTATTTTTCTCTTCTATTAATTCCATAATTTTCGAAACAATTCTGTCGAGGGAAACAACTCGCGGATTATTTGAGGGCCAGTGAACTTAATGGAGAATAAAAGCATCGAAAAACCGCGATCCTTCGTGTTCAGAGATAATAACAGAGCGCAGCCTGGAAAGAGAAAGAGAGAGATAGAGATACACAGGATGAGCCAGATAGAATTTGAAATCTCTGGCCGGTGGTTGGTCGACCGGCCGTTTCCTTAGTCGGCTGATCGCGGACCATCGGAAGGCGATTAACGTTAACGACTGGTACGAAACGTGAGAGAAAGAGAAGATTGAGAAAGAGGAGGAGGAAAAGTGTACGCCAAGATTTGAATATGTATCGATGCATATTTTACCGGGCGTTATCGGAAAAGATTCCCGCAGATTCCCGAAATCCTGCAATCAAGGAGAGCCAAAGCTGGGGATCGCACGGTAGGTTACAATGTATGTGCCATATATTGCACGAATATATTGTTATATAAAACCATTAATTATTATACAATATAATTTCATTGATATAATATTATGATTAATCAGCGATATGTTAATGATTAATGTAGCGTATTTTCTACATTAATCACTTCGTGATATTTTCTACGCATTAATATATATACTTTCACTTCGGAAATAAGCACGGAATTAATTATCATATTTATCGGCATACGTAGACCATATTTATTTAATATAAGTATACTGGCATACCATGCTAACCACGCATTTATTTAAAGTTACAGTATAAATTATGAGTAAAGTTGTAATACTATTGTATATATATTATAATATTTATTTGCATGTTTATTAATCATAATGTGCGGATATTTCATACAAACTGTGTATTAAATTATATTCAAATGACATTTTCAACATAATCGTAATATTCGCGTAATTTAATTCATGGTTTTCGTTGATTAGTGAGATTGCTAGATTCTTGTTACAAAAACTGTCGGGTCTTTCATTAACTGTTACTACTAGCTACGGGGAAGTCGGCCGATAAATCTCATTCTTTTGTTTCTTTCGGAACTCTTCGTCTTCGGCACAATCTTCACAAGTGGATTAATTCTGGTTTCTCGCCTAATCGGTTCTTGCCATAATGGACCAAACAATTCCCACGGTATGCGTAATAAAGCAAGTCGCGTATAGATGAGCCGTTGGAAAATCGATATCAGGCGATGCGGACAGATACTATCTGCTGGCATATATCCGATACAGCACGGCATGGCTCGTGCCAGAAACATCGATCGCGTTACCGGCACATGAATAAGCGCCGCGGAAGGAGAGAGTATAACGAGCGGCAGACAGGAGATGGGTGGCAGGGAACGGAGCGGGAAAGAGGACGACCGGTCTGGAACAGAGGCGGACGCGGAAACGAGAATGGCTGCGCGCAAAACTCATCTCCACGTCCCCTTGACTTTTACAAACTCACTTTGATCCGGTTAGTATTGACACGG